GTGAGTTGTTTACAGAAAGCAAATCACTTATCCAAGTGCCTCATTGAATCATGAACACTAACTCGAACAGGGACGGAACTGAACTCACGAACAAACGAACGACGAACGTTGACTTCTGCCACTAAGGCGTGGCGCCATCAGTCTTTTATCCACAGAAGGAGATCCTAACGAGCAACAACTGCTCATTATACTGCATCCTGAAACAACTCACAGGTTTCTGCTGAGTCACAACACAGAGCTATGGGTGGAATATAGCCTTGATATGGCTTCCTCTCCCCTTCAGCATTTGACACCTTCATTTAGCAGAAAGGGTATGGATAAACAAGTAAATGCTGTGTTAATCCTTTAGGGGACTATTTCTCAACATTGGCAACTTTCAGAGATTGGACAATTGGACTTCAACTCCCAGAATTCCCCAGCCAACAGCCAGCCAGCTATTAAGTCTCTATTAATTCTCACTTCTTAGCATGGCATGGGCTGCCTAGCCATGGCTATCCCATAATTAAACAATTACAAAAAGCTCCAATTGCAATGTCAAGATATTGGGCTTTGACCTGAGATACCGAAGAGCAAGTCCCAAATCAATGACAGAGCTCACTGAATAACTTTGAACCAGTCTCTCCCTCTCTTTTAGCCCAGTTCCACACACAGGATTGCTGATATGAGGTTTAAATTAGACAAGTTTCTCATATCAGTCACCTGAAAAAAAAGAAAAAAATCTGTCATTGAAATAATAAGAATTATTGGTGCCTTCTAAATTCTATGAAGAAATTCCTTACTGACCAAGAACAACCTTTTGCAATGATACAGTGTGTGCATTCACATGTAATATAGTCCCTTCCAACTCTTTTATTCTGTATTCAATTCTTGGAAGATTTCTCTGAATCCCTCCTTCCTCTGCAAAACTTGGATTATGGTTCTTGAGACTGATATGCAGTCTATAATATATTGTGGGGATAATGTCCTTGAATGTAAATCACAAAAATGTAGAATTACTTGTCATTATTGCCTCTGTTTACCTTTATAATTCAACAGGGATTTTGTTTGTGTGTGTGTATAAATGGCTCTGTTTGTGTGTGTTCCAATATAATTCTGGAATGCCTCGAGCAATTTCAACCAAACTTGGTACACAGATGACTTACTCTCTGGAAACAAATACTGTGGAGGGTAAGACACCCCTAACACTCCTTGGGGTGTGTGTTCTGTTAAGATACAGCCTGTTATGCCTTAAAATGTCTTCTACTGTACTGTTGTAAAATAGCTTCTACTGTATAGCACGGTGGAGTTGCCATGGTAACGGCTTCACAGTACTCCACAAGGGGTCTCCTTCTGGTAAAGAGGAAAATCCAACATTAGAAATTACGTTTGGTCTGGACATTTCCTCCCTATAAATAAATACCCCGGCAACGCTGGGTTATCAACTAAATCAGGATATGAATGGTGGAACAACAGAATAAACTGGGTGGATTTTGTCAGTTCATGAAATAATATGCAAAGAAACCTATGGCTGGTAATAAAGCAGTAATAGCCCTTCTGTGTTAAGTGCACCGGTGGCTCAAATTTGGTCTAGGACACATCTGTAGCTAATTTGCAAGCAAATGGAATAATTAGCCTACTGAGATGATAAAATTACATGACATATAATGTCTTTATCATTACTGACCATAATCATCTTGCAGTCAATTACCTGACTGTTGTTGATACAATATTATTGCCTTCCATGTATTGGAACATAATTTCCAGATTCGATAATGGTCATACTGGCTGGCAATTCTGAAAGGTTAGTTTGATCTTTTCTCTGCTATTGTGTTTTGTCACTGATTTCACGAACAATATAAGAGGAGGATTGTATATTATGTGTGTGTCATTTTCCAAGAGCATCTTCAATGTAGCAAACTATACTGTACAAAATAATTTTAGTTTGCGGGAGGGTAGGGCAATTTATGAGATCAACTTGAAATGTAAAAGCTTAAAAATTACTATTGCTTTGTGTTGCAGTTCCAATATTTTTTTTAAAATACAGTACTTCAAATCTCTAGTAATAACATTCAACCAAATGTGTATACATTTTGTTGCATTGGTATTTTCCCCCCAAGACAACAATTTGCAGGGCATTTGTGATTGTTAATAATATATTACAGGTATAGTGACCATTTGAAATTACAACAGCACTAAAAATTGACTTATGACCACTTTTTACACTTATGACCATTGCAGCATCTCCATGGTCACGTGATTTACATTCAGATGTTTGACTCACATTTATGACAGTTGCAGGGTTCTGAAGTCATGTGACCTTCTCACAAGCAAAGTCAATGGGGAAACCAGATCCACTTAATAACCATGTTACTAATTACTGCAGTGATTCACTTAGCAAACATGGCAAGAAAAATCATAAAAAGGGGCAAAACTCATTTAACAAATTTCTCACTTAATATAAATTTTGGGTTCAATTGTGGTCGTAGGTTGGGGATTACCTGTGATAAAACCATTTAGAAAATAAGACATGGTTTTTAAATGTGATTAAATAGAACTGTCCAATTTGAAGAATGGGTGAAACTTTAGTACTACCTTAAACTGTGCTGATATTTATTTTTTACTGCTTAAGAAAGAGGCAAGGATTCTTTAACATGTTTATTCACACCGAGCTCATTTTAAATTATAGACACAAGGCATCAAAAGAGGTTGAGAAAATTCAATCTTGAAAGAATTAAAGAGCATCATTAGAATAACATCTTGTTTTTTTTCAACATCTCGGAATGATGATCATAGTCATTATGATTAAGGAGCACACAATTTCTGAAATGTTGTGTTTAGTTATGAATAAAAATGGTCAGAATGAATTGCCCTGATTAAAAAAAAGAGTATGATGTATTAAAATATTAGGTAGAACTATGGATGTAATGAAGGGGACATTCATAACTCAATGGCCGTATAAAAAAGTATTTTTAAGAAACTGGGAAACCAGAAGGAAAATGAGCCATTAGTTTTAATAAGAATATCTCACTTTCCCCACTGAAAATTGCAGGGGGGGGGGTTTATCGGATATGTAAAACAGACAAGGACAAATCTGCGCAGCATTTTTGTTCTAGCAGTAACTGTAGCATGTTATTGTATTGTAGTATTTGTATTGTAGTAATCATATTGTAGAACACTTTAAAAAATCCTTGTGGCCTCCGCCAGATAACATAAAATAGTTGTTTGGAATGTATAACATTGGGGCAAAATTGAATGTCACATAAGGAAAGCAGAAGGCATGCTGAAATAAATCATTATTTCATAGAAGAGGGACTTTCCCCTTCTAAAAATGCTCTTAAATTGTGCCTTTTGGGTTAGATCTCTTCTCCCCCACCTCCCCACCTTAGATCTATGGTTTATAGTTGAATCCTGGGATGGCAGACAAGGCTCACAGATACTTCGACAAGTTAGAGGAAAGGGTGTATGTGGGGGAGATGCAGGATCTATGTAGAATTGAAATTTCAAAGATGAGCACACCAAGGAGCCCAGCTAATGTAGTTAGCCACAGATTAAAATGTGGATGCAACCCAATTGACTGTGCTTGATTCCATGAGCCCTGACTCGGTGGAAATGGCTGAGCAGAAACTTTGCATGGAAAGATGGACAAGTTCCTCTGAGTTTTTTCTTCTTCTTCCACAGGAGTGGTACACTGGTTCCCACAGACAGTTGAAAACTAAAAGGCATACAGGGCGGGGCATAACCTTTTCCTAGGGTGTCACAGCAAGATCGACAGCAGTTTACAACTTCCGCGA